GCCGTTTCCACCCCCCAACCCGAGACGGCCGCGGGGGGCGGGGCGGTCTGCGGCGCCGCCCCGTCCTGTGGCGAGCGAGGCGGGCTGGGGGCTGGTGCCCGCCTGCGCGGTCCCGGGTGGGCGCTCCGCGGCGGCCTTCGGGCCTCCAGCCCCCGGGGGCAGCTGGCGGGGGGAGGTGTCGAGGCCCCTTGGGCGGCTCAGGGGGCGAGGCCCGCCCCTTCTGCAGGGCCCGGGCCGGCTCCCGCGCTGCCCCCCCGTCGTCCGCCCCTGGCAGCAGCCTTCCTTCCCCGTCGCCCTCGGGGACCTTGGGGCTCTCTCCCTCGGCCTGGGCGGCTCGCGTCAGGGACTCGTCGTCAGGAAGACGTCAGCATCCGCGGTGAGCCGCTGTCAAGAGGCCAGCTCCTCTCTTGCTCCTTCTGCAGAGCTCTGCTTTTCGTTCACAACGTGATTCTTGCCTTGCAATAATTCAGATAAAAAACGTCTTTCACGTCAGCCCAGGCAAACTTCTTTTTCACGTGCTGGCACTTGTGGATCCCACACTCCAAGGCCTTTTTCGTGTAGATAGCTGTGTTATCTAAAATAGTTCCCGGGTTATGCTTCAGGAACCAAAATGTTAGACATTGCAATCTTGCATTTTCGTTTCTTGGAGTAAACTTTGGCACTCCAGAATCACAGAAACCTGAAAATCCCTCACCCAAAGCTGAAAGTGTAGATGCTTACATTTTCATCAGGCATGCGTATCTTTTTTTATATTTCTGCTTAGAGAACCTCTAATGGAAAGAAAATTAGTCCTCTGTTTTGATTCTTTTATTTCATGAATAATGCTAGCATTGCACCTGGAAGTTTCCCATACTTTGTAAGCAAACAGTTATGCGGTAAGCCTCTCCAAAGGGTCTTAGTGTAATTATTCTTGCAGGTGTTTGGTGGCTTTTTTTAGAGCAATTAAGGCTGTAAAGCATTTATTTTTGTGGACTGTTAGATTGCGCAATACCCATGCTCTTCTGGGTTGTCACCTTTTGTTCCTCTCTGTACTGACACAACTGTTTTTGTAGCAATATGTTGAACTTCGCTGGGAGTTGATCTGGCTGAAAAAATTTTTCTCAGTAAAAGGGTCGTTTTCCATCTGGATGAGTTCTCTGATGAAGTTCGTGTTAAAATGTCTGCAACGGGCAGTTGTGGGGACACAGAGCAGGGACCTTGGAAGGGGGAAGAAACAGCTGGGTGGTCTCTGTGCTGGCACAAGCAGCTCTTCTGTCAAATGTGAAACTCAGCCTGGGTTCTAGAGGTTCTGTGTTGGTGTGCCTTTTTTTTTTTTTTCCTTTCCCTGAAGCTGTGATTTCCTAACCAGGATGAATGCACACTTGGAGATGTGCTTAATTACCTCTCTGCTCTAATGCTTAGAGCAGTCCTCGGTTTACTTGAACTGGAAGATGACCCATAAGATGCAAAACATGACGTTTGGACTGAAACAATGAGAAACAATGACATTTTACCCCAAATGTTTCGAAATGGTAAAAGCATAGAATTAAGACTTTCTTGTTTAGGTAGGAAATGTGTTTTAAGGGCTGTGCTTACAGCAGTACTCATGTAATTGAGGTACTGGCTCCAGCAACTATGTGCTGCTGTACCACTCGCTTCCCTGTTTATTCACTGGCCTTTCATACCCTGAGCAGCTGCAGTAATTACTGGTGTGCTTGCACACTGTGGTATCATAACAGTCAATTGTAACTTGAGAAAAAGCATGTTGAAATAGCTATTCATTTTCATTGCTTCTTTTTTCTCCTTAGGTAATTCTAGAAGCTATGGATATACTCTTTAGAATAAGAGGAGGCTTGGATCTTGCATTTCAGCTAGCAACTACTGATGGTGTGTCTATAAGACTATGATAGATTTTTTTAACATTTATATAAATAACCTTTTATTAATTAACTAGTTATTACAATGTTTATTTTATTGGTATTTCACCAGTTAAGTGCTTCTTCCCAAACCTGTGAAGATTTAAGTACAGAAAATGATATTCTTTATCTCCATTAATTTTCTGACAGTCTTTTTCCATTGTATGTTTTTTACTTTAATTTGAAGTAAAGTTTAAATTGCCATTTTTAGGTCACTTTATTTACATATTTTTCCTACTTAGGGATATGGTATTGGGATCGCTTTTCAGTTTGAATCCAAAGTTGACCCTGAAATTCTAAGCAAGCAGAGAATAACTTAATGACAATATAATCCTGCTATAACCAAATTTGTTAATAATACAGTTTTGAGATTGTGGTCCAGTCTTTCTAGAGAAATAAAGATGATGAACAAGCTAAGTAGTTACCTTACTGAATTTAGGCGGGATTGGCTACTGCAGTTCCATGTGATAACAAGGGACTAGATCATATGGCGTTAAGAGGCTCCTCTAGTCCCACGTTCTTACAGTAATGTGACGTTCGCTTCAGAAAGTCTGCTCAAGGCTATCGGTAGCCACTGAGCTATCATAGGGCCGAGTGCAGAAGGATGGTGTCTTTAGCTCAACTGTAGCTCATTCTGCATTTTAAAAGGACATGTCTTTACTAGAAACTCTGAACTCGGTGCTAGTGAACCTTGAAAAGGAACTTAGGCTCATTTCAGTTCATGATGTGGAATAGAACTGTTGAATAGTTGGCCTAATGCATAGCAACTTTTTGTGAATTGCATCCTCAGAGGAAGGCTATTTATTTGACTTTGTTTACAGTGTAGTGAATTTCAATGACAGTGAAGCAGAGTGATATTCAGATTGTCCATGTGCATGATATTCACACCTGTTGGTGTGTAAATATGGCAGACGACTCCTTTTGAAGGCAGTGAGGCTTTTCTTTTGGAGGAGTTTTGTTTGATTTTTCCAATACTGTAGTTTTTACAGACTTCTAGTGCAAAAGTCAACTAATAGTGGCCAAATCTAAGTTAATACATTACAGAAATACAATTCAGCTTAGTCTTTAATAGCTCATTACACTTTGTGTAACTTGTTGCATTCTAAGTAACGTTTTTTAATCTCCTCAGTAAGGAAAACAATGTTGGTAATGTGTAAAAGTTGCTCTGTCATATCCAGTATTGGCTCACGTTGTAAGGAGTGGGTGAAACTTAAGAACTCAAGTCAAGCTCTGACAGACAACTGTCTATACCGGTAATAAAGATTCAGGCTGACCAGGGTGTGGCTGACAGTTACAGGTTTATGTTGGCCAAAATTTGGTCTGCAGCTGGAGAGAGGAGGCCCTGCTTTTCCAAAAATTTAGTATATTTTTGGTTTGTATTACTGAATAATGATATTGATCCGAAACACATGACTGGGATTGAATCTTTCCAGGATTTACTCAAAAGACTAAATAAAACCTTATGTAGAAGTTTGTCTGTACATAGAAGTTCGTTTGCAACTGTAGGCTTGGTTAAGAGTTATTGATGTGAGAATCGACTACAGTGTAGGTTATTCTTCTGTAATTCATGCAGCTCTTCGTATTTGACAGCATTTGAGAGAAACAGTACACTTATGTTCAGGCAGGTATGAATGTGAATGTTTGAGACAGACCTGCTAAGCGAAATCTCATCTCAGTTTCTCTTTACATAGCCATTTTTCTGATCATAACAGCACTTACGTTTTTATTCCAAGTCAAAACATATAAATTTTTTTAAAATGTATGTCCAGCAGCTATAACGAAAGTGAGGGAATTTTCTAGGCTAATTGTATTCTTATTGTGTTTCAGAGGCATCAACAAAAAAGGCATTAGGATATGTTTTCAGTGATCTTGCAAACAAACTGTCCTCAGATGTTCTTGTATTAAGAATTTGCCACAGTTCAGTCTATGTGTGGCCTAACAGTGGTATGAACACTGTTCCAGAGCTGACTGATGATTCTGCCTGTAAGGAGATAAGACGATTTATACAGTGAGTATATTTAATTTATATTTTTTATAATAGATTAATTTCATATTACAGAAATTTCTCTTTCTGTTGATTCTTCAGATTTGATCAAGATGATGAGACCAAACGAAAGCTTGGCAAAAAAAAGGATAAAAAGTTACAAGATACGGTATGTGTCTCGCCACACTAATAAATTATATCAGACAACCTATCATTTAAACATTTTTAGATCTGCCCTCCCTAGGCTTTTCTATACACAGTCAGACATTGACATGACTCAAAAGTATCCTTTTAAAGTCATTGAGACTCAGCGTGAATGCAGGGATCCATCTACAGTAGATCAGCACGTAGAAGTTTGTTTTTAAGATTACAAGTTTTGGGGGTTTTTTTTAACCCCAAGTATTTCATTACTGAGTTTGATACTAAATATCTACAATGTTACTTTTGCCTTTTTGGTGCATGTGGTGTTGGAGATGTAATATTGGTGTCTTTATTCTCTACAGCAGCAGATAGTCAATATAGACCTCATGTTGGAAATGACATCTTCATTAGCTGCTTTGACTCCAGTCATTGAAAAGGAAAATAAGGAACACCACTACATAAATATGACATTACCAGTTGACGTTGTTGTATCTGTTTCTCCAGAAGAAACATGGGGAAAGTAAGTGTTATCCTAAGCTTGTAATTTTTCAACTTCGTTTCTGCTTTTTCTTGAAATAATGAAGTAAAGCTATATGATTAATCAGTTTAATGAAGTAGCATGTAGTATTTTTGTAATGGAAATTAACTGTGTAAAAAAAGCTGCTGTAGACAGCTGTTAGCTTTAATAATCTTGAAAAACAATCTTTTTGCTATCTACAAAAAATTCAGTTTATCAGTGTCTGATAAATTGATAACTCGTAACCATTGCTTAGCAAGAAATTGAGAAAGTCAGGAAAATGTTCTAAAAATTCTTGTAAGTATGTGAGTGTGTATAAAAGTAAGAGTTGGAGTGTATTTGATGAGTCTGTAATCTCAGTACTACGTTAGGGGCTGCAGCTGGCTAGGTGAAGGTGGAAAACATTAGAGTCTTCCTCTGTAATTTTTCCTTGCATTTTTTCCATAGGATTCGACTCTGAAGGATGCTAAATGGGGTGGATAAAATGCAAACAACCCCATATAGTCATATATGTAACTTTTATTTCAGCAAATGCTCATAATGGTTGTGTTTCTGATATAAGACCAGGGTACCTCCACTTCGGAGGGTTGAATCACTAGGGAGTAGTTTCTGTGTGCAAACATGCTTTGAGTAAAGCATGGTGAGGTTCTGTCCTTCTCTGTGAGAGTGGAAGCATGGAAGTAGTAAGTTCATCAGACCAGGTGCAAATATGCATATAAGTATTGTATAACTATCAGAGCTATGAGAGAAAATGACCTACCATCACTGTTCTGCTTTTAAAATATTCTTCCTTATACTTTGCAGGGTACAAAATCTCCTGGTGAAAGCAATTCACAGGCAATTAACTGACATGGAAAGATGTATCATGAAATATATGAAGGGAACATCAATTGTGGTACCAGAACAATTTCATTTCATGTTACCAGGAAAAAATCACCTTGCAACAATCTCGTATCCTACAGGTATTTCAGATGATCAGCTGGAAAGTTACAGAAAGGTAAAGCCAACAAATACTAACAGAACCTGATTTTTTTTTATTATTATTATTATTGTTATTGTAACTGAAGCATTGGTAAAGCTTTTCATTTAGGTAACGTAGAATAAATACTAACAGATACTGCTATTTTTAAAATTTATTTCTATTATAACTGAAGCAGTATACTGAATGTGGAAGCTTGATTTATTAGAAGTTATTTTACAAAATGTGCCAAATCTCATTTTTGCAAGGGGACAATAGAAACTTTAAAACTACATAGGATTTGGTTTAGATAGGTTTTATCTAAATTACACTTCTGGTACTGTATTCTTGGAATTTCTCCACTTCCGTGGTGGAATATCAGATTACTTCTAGTGTGTTATTGCTCTCGGGCTTTAACACGTGCCCTGAAAGGGCTAGGGTTGGGGTTTTTTGTTTGTTTTGGGTTCTTTCTTGGGGTTATGTGTTGTTGGGCTTTTTTGTTTGTTTGTTTTGGGGAGGCTGCTTTTTGTGGCTCACAGGTGACCAGCGTTAGCTAGCTTGTTTGGTTTTTGCCTTCTGGGTTGGCACATCTAGAAAAAGGAAAATGGATGAGGTGGGAAAATGTTCTGATGTGGCAGTCCTTTCAGATTGAGATGTGTACCTGGCAGATACCGGTTCAGGTCACACAGTTACACATACTGAGAGTGGGGAAAGAATCTTCTGCTGCCTTAGAGGTGTAGAAGCTGTGGGGATTTTTCATTTTCTTCTTCTGTGTGAAACATTACTGGGTATACAAAACCTAATCAGTTCCTTGCATTTGCAGAGGCCTCAGGCACTGATGGCACATTAAGTCTTTACTGCTCTCTGTCTTCTGTTCACTCTTATCCGCTGATTGCAAAGTGTTCCGGTGGCTAATGTAGTTGGGTTCAGTGTTGGGTCATCTGCGTAAAATGTATTACCTGCGTTACATGCATTATCCTAGATTATCTCATCATTCCTTTCACTCTTAAGCTTTGTGAAATAAGACAATATATCTCTTTAAATGTGGCTGCTGTGTTGTAAACAGTGCTTAAGAGATTTAAAAATAGACTGAACCTGCTTAAACCATAAGCTCAGTATCTTTACTTTGTCTCAGTATGTGGTATTTGTATGTCTTCAATATTAGTTAAGATTATAATTCAGAGTGTGTGTATCTGTACTACTACATAGATAAAACAGTAATCCTTTTTTATTATGGTGTATTTTATCATACTTTCATAACACACTTGTCACTCATGGTATCGTCAGCGGGGCTCCAGCGGCAGGCATTATGTAACAGGCCCACGTGAAATAGTGGGTCCTTTAGATAGGAGGTAAGCCTGCATGAGCTTCCTTTGAGAGGTGAGATCTAGTAGTAAATATATATGCTGAATATTTAATTAAGCAGATTTTAATATATTAATTTTGCTAAACTGTGCTGTTAAAATTGTTTATGTCTCTATTGTTACATACAATGTGATGTTTCTTTTAACCCAAAATTTGAATTGTGCTCTTTATTTTTATTTGAACTTGCATGTAGGAATTGCATGGGTTGTTCAATCTGCCTTGTGACAGACCATATTTCAAGAGAGCAAATGCTTACCATTTTCCAGATGAACCATATAAAGACGGATATCTCAGAAATCCACATTTGCATCTTAATTCACCTGGTACAGAGTCTGGTATGGTAAGTTTAAATTGAAACACTTGTAAGAAAGTACTTTTTATTTTAGCTGAGATTTGTTATTAAAAGAAGTAATTTAGATAGTCAGTATTGTATAGATGACAAAGCAAAGCAACTGACTTGGCCTTTTAAACAAAAGGGCTTCTCTGCACAAAATGGTATTGCTTTGGTTATATTTGTCCCAAAGAAATTGCATTTTCTTGGAAAAGGATGTACACATTTTTTGCATGTATTTTAAAAGTTTCTCAGAACCAGGACAAGAAACTGAAACTATGAACAGAGGTGTTGAGGAGACAAAAACAGGAGTAACCATGTATCAATAACAACCATTCAATTCTTCCAAAGATTCGCAGTCCCCAGCTGAAAGCTTTTACAGTGCAAGTGACAAGACATATGACTTCTCTGAAAATTGATGCAAGTGTGATCAAATTCATTTGTATTATCTCTTTCTGTGCAGATTTATTTAGTATATGGTGTATATAGTTATCACCACTATATGCAGGATCGGATTGATGACAGTGGTTGGGGCTGTGCCTATCGGTCTTTGCAGACAATCTGTTCTTGGTTCAAGCACCAAGGTTACATTGATAGACCTATACCAACACACAAGGAAATTCAACAGGTACAGAACATTTAAGCAGATTATTTTATGTGTGTTTCTGTAGATTATTTTTAAAATCTCAAATTCATATATTTTAGACTTTTTGGATCTGTGTGATATTTTTCTCTCTTAAATCGAACTGTAGTAGTTCTAAATTATTATTTTTAACAAGTTTTATTATAGGAGATATGTTTCCAAATGTTTATCAGTGGCAGGTGACACTATGTGTACAAATGAGACTCATTAAAATAGTCTTCTAAATACTTTCTTGGATTAATGTTCTATTAGAAGCTCAAATTATGACACTTTCACTGTTTTTGCCAAATGAAAGGAAACAAAGAAACCAATGTGTCATACTAAAATCAGTTTTAAAACTGACTTTTGTATTCAGTGACAGCTGAATTAGTCCCCAGATGCTATGCTATGCTGCCTTTTGCAACTTTGTCTTTGAGAGTAGTGGCCTTTTTCTGGTTTTTGAACTATCCTTCGCTTCTTTTTCTATTGTGAATTCCAATGCATACCTGAATATGTTTGTTTCTGTTAACAGCACTAAATAAAAACTGTGGGCTTGGGTAGCTAATATTGTATGCCTAGCAAGAAACACTGCAATTATCTTCAGTCTTCTAAAAAGTTCTTTGCGTTATATTTATTTACTGAACATTTTTGGCAAAGTTTGATTCAGTCCATAAGACAACTTTCATCATACCTAACAGGGATGTGAGCACTAAAACTGCATTTCCTGAACATGTCTCAGTCCACACCTAAACCTAAAAGCAACTGAAGTCCATGCACTCCTGTAGTATTTTTAGACATCTAGAAGAGGCACTAGCCTTCAGGAGACTTTGTGGGCTTTGTATCCTGAGCTGAAAATGCCCCTCTGAAGTGCTGCATGTAACGTATAAGCCTCAGAATGGAGAAGAGTTTAAAATAAAGCACAACCTTTGCTGTATTTCAGTGGCCTCTTCCTCAGAGCACTATTTTATGGATCCTTTTCTGAGATGCTTTGAATGGGAATCCAGGTACATCAGCCTGCGAAGTGGCTTCTGCAGTACGAGTGGTACACTCCATTATTAGACAGCTTGGTGCTCACCACCCCAGCAAGTCTGCCTGCGGACCTGGGGTTATATTCTGTGCTTATAGGCACTGTTCTGTATTAGTTTTCAAGTGACGTTTCCAAAACAGAACTGCAATGAATGAATTCAACATCCGTTTGTCTGTTTTTGACTGGCTAGGTTCAAAATACATTCCCATATATATAAACCAACTTTGTTCACAATAAGTGGTGGAATTGCCTACTATGTGTTGTTGACGGTTGTTTTTCTTCTTCATCGTGATGTTGCAAAAGGCACTGGTTGATGCTGGAGACAAGCCGGCAGCATTTGTTGGGTCACACCAATGGATTGGTTCGATTGAGGTACAGCTTGTTTTGAACCAGCTTTTTGGAATAACATCAAAAATATTATTTGTCAGGTAAGAATCAATATCTGTTTAATAGCTCAGTAATTATTAAAAAGACTCAATGCCTTAAAATGCAAATTACAATACATGGGAGAATAGGGGTAATAAAATGGATAATAAATCTTCTAAGGGTTCCTTTTTCATAAAACCTGTATTCCTGCCTTTGGTTGTGCTAAGTACTTACAGATGAAGGCATTGCTGATTTTCTTGGGGGCTTTGGGTTCCAGTTTGGAGTTGCTGTAAATTGCCTAATGATATGCAAATTGATGTGGAATTCAGGCTATTCCTTTGCACCACAAACATAATTTTTGAAGCAGGCACACAGTCTGGCAGTCACAATGAACTGAAAGCACATTGACAGTAAATCATTACTTCATCCACAGAGCTAACCTGTCAGTTCAGGATTGAGGCAAATTGCTGAGCAGCCTGGAAATAGTTTTCTCTTTTCTGGGTTTGTGTGACAGATAAAACAAGGGATTTGTTTCTGTTCTGGCAATCTGACACTCTCATACACAATAAAGAACCCAACAAATATATTTGGGAGAAAAAGAATGATGTTCAGCATTTATTAGAAGTTAAATTACTGGATTTTTATCATTTAGGCAGCACTAAGCAGACTAACAAATCCCTGAATGTTTTGTGATTAAATACAATCATGAAATAAAGAAGATATACTAACTTAGCGTTTATGAAAATTCTAGTCAAAGTACTACTCAGAGTAAATTCTACTGTAGATATTCTAAAAGAGCAGGTGACCATGGTGATGGTGATCCTTAACGGTAGGAAAATAGTTCAGTTCTTCAATATTTTGTAAAGCTTTATGCAGCCAATTTTAATCTTTTTTTGTTCCAGAGCTTATATTTGCAGATGATCTACCTATTATTTATAGCAGCTGTGACAGGCTCTGCCAGTATGAAGGTTTTTATTCCTGCACATAAGAATATAGAGTAGATGCCTTTGTGAACTTGGTAGAATTGCTCATAGTGCTGTTACAAGGGAGCACCAGTGTTTTTCAAGATTATGAAAAGCCAACATCACTACCATGTTGAGAAGAAGAAATGTCATGCATATCTTTCAGCTGGTCACTAGCAGGGGATAGCATTTTTGTCTTGGGCTTATTTCCAGCTAGCACCTCTAACTCTTTATGGAAATAACACTTCACAGCTGCACCAGCAGCACTAGTACTGAATCCATTATTGTAAATGCACCATTTCCCAGAGTTCCAGTTTTGTATTCTGTCTGCATTTAATCCATCTCTTCAGGAACGTGAGAAGCAGGCACACAAGCTTTCTTTGGGTTTTCAAAAGGTTAACCACTATATATGAAGAAATATAAAGACAAGCTGTTAAAAATATCTGTATTAATTTCCTTGCCTAGTTTCTGTCACCACTTTTGGGAGTACTGTCAGTCTTCTAAGGGGAATACGAGTCTCCATCAGACATACGTCTTCAGCTCCAAATCCTGGAGTGCGTGCATGTATTAGGAGCGTGCCTTTTTCTTCCATGCAGACTTCTTTTGTCTGGGGCTGGTCCCCATAGTTGAAAAGGAAAGCAGAGAGTTTATAACAAAGCTTAGTTCAGTGTTGCTTTGAACAGATTACTAATGTTATTTGAGATTTGATTTTTAAGGCCAACTCTGGTATGCGTACTGCAATTGCTTGTGCAATTACAGTGGAAACCTGTCTTAAGAGAAGTCATTATAAACACCTTTATCAACACCTTATTTTTGTTGTTTCTGATGAAGTTCTGTTACTTCAGACTTCCCCTTGCTGACAGATGTAGCCAGTCTGTTTTTTCAGACGCTTGAAGGGACCCACTGGGGTTTACCAGCTGTCCCCACTGTGGGAGACAAGCAGCAGACATGTTATAGAAGCTGGGTGACTCCAGGCACTCAAGCGGCAACTAGGCTTACAGCAGATTCTTTGGTCCAACCAGAATCTGTAAGTTGTGTTAAAAAAACTTTTTTTCAGATTGTCCCAGGATGTTTACACAGGAAAAGTCTAAGCCACTTTCTAATCAGTTACCTATGTAGTTAACCGGTATCATGGATAATTAGAGAATTAAGCCTAGTGAGGATTTCAAATCTATTGTTGTTTTTCTTACCTAGCCAGGGTTCTGAACTAGCATTGCAGGGAAGAGAGCTTGCTAATCATTTCAAGACTGAAGGAACTCCAGTTATGATTGGTAAGTGCTCAAGTATTGAAGAATGCCAATGACAGTGCATGGCCTCCCTATGCTGAATTTCATCTCAATTAAAAACTCGTTCAGTTTATTGTGCAAGAGTTAATCAAAACTCTAGATGAATTAAAAATTATGCTTTTCCCAACAGAGCCTGGAAAACAATGAAATTTAGTCTGGCTGGTATCTTTTCACTCAGTATTTCTCCCAAGCTCAGTATAAAACCTGGTAACAAAAGTCAATCTGAATGGTGTTCTTCAAAACTGCTGTTAAAGTCAGAACTTGAGAACTGAGTTCATACAGTTCCCCAAAATTTCCCATGACAGAAGAGTAGTGTTTATCTGGCTTTGAAGAGAAGGGTATCATCCCAGTTCTTTTTAAGACCAGTTTTAATAACATGAAGTGTTGGTAACATAAGAAATGCCATTCGTAACAGTGCTGTAACTTTAATTGAACTATTTCCAAGACAGTTATGGCTTAGAAAATGAAGAATATTGAATATATGGTTTTCAGCTTTAACAAGATTTTAATTTTAGCAGTTCTTGCAATCTGGATTTAGCACTCCATAAAGACAGTGTTACTGTCTCAAAAAGTCTAGATTTTGGTATGAAATATTTTTGGCCTTTCAGCAGCCTTTTTGTCTGAATTTCAAGAATTTAGAATCCTAGATTGAAAAATCTTTTAGTCTGTAACTTATCCTTCCCTGTAATGCTTTCTTGTAGGTTGGTTTAATTGTTGTTGTTGTTGTTGGAGGGGCGGAGGTTGGCTTTTTGGTGTGGGTTTTGGTGATTTTTTTTTTTTTTTTCCACTTGTGTTCTTTTGGGGTTTTTGCGATTCCTATCTGTTGTGTGGAGTCATTACTACAGTATCCCAAGGACATAAACTCCTCATGCTATCTGAAAGAAACATGCAAGAGTTGACCTGTAGCCAGCTCATCAAAATATCCCCTTTCCCTGTTTGCAGGCTAGAGAAAGGGGAGTTAGAAATTACTACTCTGCCCCTAATATCCATTGATGGAACTTAGTAGAAAACAGCAGATAATCCTTATCCAGAAATTCTGATTTCTGTTCTAATTTTAGTCCTTTTACAACCAGGAAGTTTTCCAGATCCCTTTTCTACAGTTAAGTTTCTTTAAAGAAAGAGTGAGCAAAACAGATGTTTGAAATATTCTTGACTTCATGTGGTGGAATTGTTGAGGATTTAACCCGCCTTGCTGACGTGGAAGAACTTTGGAAAGTAAATTCTCTAGTTGTAGTAAGTAAAGTAAAATAAGTAATCTTCCCTAGTTGTAGTAAAGATATGTTGTTTAATAATGTAAAGAATCTTATGTAGGACAGCTTCAGAATCATTTTGATAACCAAGCTAATCTGTTAATAGAAAGTGTTGATATACTTTTACTTGGCTAAATGTGCAAGCCTAAATCTCAATGAAAAACTTTTAGCAATTTGTGTTCCTCCTGTTTTAGGTGGAGGTGTTTTGGCTCACACAATATTAGGAGTGGCTTGGAATGAGATTACAGGGCACATAAAATATTTGATTCTAGACCCACATTACACTGGAGGAGAAGATCTGCATGTTATTTTGGAAAAGGTGAGGCTTGATGTACATATATATATATATATACACACATATGTATGTATATATGTATATTTTGGCATTAAACAAATAATGTACAGCCAAATACAAATTGGCCATTCTATGGCATCTCCATTCCTTACGGAGGCAGTGCAGATCCCAGTTAACCTGCATATATGCTACTCTACTGTTAGCTTCTGAAACTTGTTGTCGTTAGAGAAGATATATTGGGTCAGCAACCACATAAAGTTGTTATAGTACAAAGAAATGTTCTTCACTGTCTCTGAATTAAACCATCTCCCCTTTTACCCAGTAGTATATACAATAAATGTGTTTGGTATTTTGAATGGAACAGAAAAATCTGTTCAGCCTGTAAAATGTTGTTAATGAAGCAGAGAAGATAACCATTTATTTAAAATGTAAATTTTATTTTTTTAAAATCCAACACTAGCCATTCTCAGATCAGGCCTTGAACTAAGTTTAAAGGGCAGGTACTGAGCTGTTTTGAAAAACTGGGAAAACTCTAAAGCACTAAAGGATATGTACTGTTATATCCATATTTAAAGCTACTAAAAGGGATGACACAGCACGTTACAAAACAGTAAACATATAGTGTCAGAAATGTAAACTCTGGCTAAATCATCCTACATGTGTTAAGTAATCAGTTTCTTTTCTGTTCTTCGTGTTAAGTTGCAAATAGCAACTTTTATTTTGTATCTTTATTTGACACCCTTGGGTTGGGCCCAACTAGAAGAGCTGTTGAAGAAACATTTTGCTAGCCCTATAATGATTAAAGCTTGAAATGAGTACAGAAAGTAAGTTACTTCCAACAAACATGTAGAACCAAAGGCTGTTACAGCTACAAGGTGCTCAGGAATGGTCCAGGAGGATAAAATGTGTGCAGAACCCCCTTTCCTCACCCAAAGTGGTAGGGTAGGGGAGGAATTGAGGTGGACTGAAAGTTTGTAGCTCTTTTCAAAAGCACCTCATATACTTATGTAGTACTCTGCCATCTTAAGAGCTTTGTTTTGACTGTTTTTCTGCTAAATCATGATCAACAGCACACCTTCTGATATTAAGAACTTTGCCTCTGAAATATCAACTATTACTAAAGAGGGCAAGCATTCAAGACAAGAGAAATGGAAACTGCGAGAATGATAAGAGTTTCAGAATAATATTAGTCTCTCTGTAGCAGCAGCAGGGATGGAGGGGGGAGATGCTACTGTTTTGGAAGTGAGCTAGGGTGGGGAGGGAGGAAGGAGGAGAGAGAGACTTTGCAAAGTGTTTTCTATTAATGTGTTTCCAGGCATGTAGAGAACTTTCTGAAAATTGTGTGTTGTTGCATTCTATAGATATTTGAAAATAATTCATACAGCTTAGATTAAAATTAGTAAAATAAAATAGATCCAATAGTAGTAGATAGGAAAAACAGAATTCTTAGTAGATTTAAATGCTGTCTTGCTTTTTCTTGGACAGGGCTGGTGTGGATGGAAGGGCCCAGAGTTTTGGAACAAGGATGCCTATTATAATCTATGCCTACCTCAACGACCAAAAACTATTTAAATTCCACTGTTATGCTGGAACATGTTAAGACAGAATACTAGCTGATCTAGATATAACTGTCTTGTTATTTATCAAAATAATGCTTTAAGTCAATCAAAACCCAGCTGAAATAGAAATGTTGCTTCAAGTAATTTAAATTAAGAAATATTTTTTTTAATGAAACCTCTAAAAATACGAGTTGTCTGATATGAACTGTATTTCTTACAAATACATTTATTAGGTAATGAATATGCTCTTCTTTCAGCTAGGACAACTTTATGTTTATACAGCATTTTTTGTTATGCTAAAATCTTTACGGATTTTTATTTTATGCCCAGTCCTTTTATTTTATGGAATTCTTTCTTGCCCAAAAGATGAACTGTCCTTTACCTTCAGGTTCCATATAGCCAGCTGTCTTGTCCACTATGAATCTGTTCAAAGGCATTGTTTGCTGCTGGTACTGTTGATAACAGCATTGTAGAAGGGGAGTGGGAGAAAAATGGCTATATGTATGGAATTTTATGAACTTTGTGTAAATACAAGAACAGAATAAAATGTGAGTGAATTGTTGTATGCTCATTTGTTTATAGCTGTATGAATACAACTATTCTAGGAAGAAAAAAAAAAAACAACACAAAAAAAACCACAGCAGAGCAGTCTTCTGTAAGAAGTAAAAGTTAACGAGCTTTCCTCCTTCTCAGAAGGAGACAGTGTACCACCATACGCATCTGGCTGCTCAATGCATAGTCCAGTCATGCTTCTTCAGACTTTGGATTCCCCTTGATTTCATTTTGGGATTACAAGCTTTTTCATTTGTCAGCTAGGAGACAAGATCCATCTTATCAACAAATAAGAGTAAGTCTGTAACTACTCCATCAGTAAAAGTACCTATGATTCCCCCCCCCCCCCATCCCACCATGTTAAAGTAGCCTTTTCAGTGGCAGTCTCCATGCACTACCCATTTTTGGCAAGACCGCAACCTTAAGTACGTATGCAAGTTGATCCTTACTAGCAGGCTTCTACATCCAACTGCTATGTATCTAACACCAACTTTATTTACTTAAATGCTGGAAGCATTAAAAAAAAAAAAAAAACAAAAAAAAACAAATACTCTGAATTGTAGTAAGCCAACAGTATTACACACCGTCCGATCTTCTCCTCTTCCTGCTTATGGATCTGTTGGTTTCACTTTCTTGGTTCTGTGCAGCTGGATTCTCTCTCAGCAAGCCATGTTTGTCACTTAGGGAGTAGCCAGACTGTCCTTTCAGTTTCATTGTCTGTGTGTGCTGAATTGTTGTGAGGAACTTGGCACATTCCAGAAACCCATAAGCCAGTGCAAGGTCTGCTGCTGTTTGTCCGCTGTTGTTGCACAAGCTGAAACACAGAATTAACAATAACCATTCAATTAAATTGGAATATATATTATGAGCAAGCACTGATCAAGATTAATTAACTGGTAACTTTAGACAGAGGTATAAAAATAAGTACAGAGAATCAATACTAAAAAGGCTTGTCAAGGGTAGCATGGGGCTCTACTCATACAGAGGGCTGGTATTAAATGCAACAAGGAATAATTATTTTAAAATACATTTGTCATCAGGCTATGACTGGCTTAGCGTATCAGAAAGGCAAGAGGAAGGTGAGCACAGCATTAGTCAGAATGGAAAGCTAACAAGGAGAACTTATGATCAGGAATACTCTCTTAGCAGTTACTATAGAGGTCTCTAATGTGGAACTAAACAGCATATGGTCTATGCTACTTTGGTGTATATAGCAGTTTTTAATACTGCTCTTATGACTATAGTCATGCTGTATTTACAGTCTTAGCATGCGCACTCTGAACAAGAAGAAGTGCTGTGTAAAATACATGTATCCTTTGATACTGTTACTGAAATGACTAAATGTAGCTCAACTTACTCAATTTTGGCATCACCAGCAACAAGGAGAGCAAGACATTCCAAACTCCCAACTTTTGCTGCTTTATGAATCGGGGCTTCCCCAAGGCAATCCTGAAAACACAATTTATATATAGCAGTCATTTGAAGGAGGGGGAATAGGATGAAGCTATCTTGTTCTCTAACATGACTGTTTATGGAGAGTTACTCTGTATACCAGTCTGTTGCGAGTTGAGAGATCAAAGGAATATAGCCAGTAAAGTGTACTCGGTAACTGCCATTAAATGGTTACTGCATTCATGACAGTGAAGTAGAAATACTGTCCCATGCAATACTTGTTGTTTAACCTTTACCTTCTAAAAGATTATTTACCCAGAATACACTCTACGCTGATTAACAGCATCTTTTGGCACCATTCAGGGATTGCTGTGACCAACAGCTTGCTGCTACCAGCTCAGAGGTATAAGCAAATTAAACTTTGCAGCTAGAGGAATGAATCCTTATGTTTACGGGAAGCAGGGGCAAAATTTCAGAGGAAAAAGGAATATCCATTTGTGTAAAAGAATTAAGTTTTGACATCCGCATGCAGCACTGTAAGTGTGTGAAAACCGCATTATACGTAGCAAATGAAATTGATAACGCAATATAGACAGGACTTCTGGTTCACGCTAGAATAAAGTTACTGTAAAATAAGCAACGCCAGATACCTCGTGCTGTGCATATAAAACCTCTCCTAGATAAAAAAAATACATAAATAATATAAATTGGATTTACTGACATGCCAGATTAGAAGTGGAAGAAACAAAATTTATGCATTTTTACCTGTTGGTTCAAATTCGCTCCTGTCTGCAGTTGCCAAAGTAGGAAAAAAGCTTCACCGCCACAAGCAGCCAAGTGAGCTGGAGACTGACCAAAGGCATCTGCAGGTGCGTTCACACTGGTTCCTGCCTCAAACAGATTGCTGAAACTACCAGACTAAAATAAACAAGATTAAAAAAAAAAAAGAGAGAGAAGAGCACGATGTTATTGCCAGTCTAAGCCACGGCAGGTCTAAGAACGCTGCACCACAGCAGCAAACATTCCCCCCGCAAATCATCGGACCTTCGTGTTCCTTGAGGCTGCCCTTTTCAACGAAGCACGCCAAGCGTGGCTTCTTTTGGCTTTTAATCTCTTAACCAGAAGTACCGACCGACATCGGCAGCGCCCCAACGCATCTAGCAGCAACTAACTCCAGGCAAACTCCGCTTGCTAACAGCTCCGTAGCCGGGCTCCCGGTAAGACAGAACCGACCTTGCCCACGCCTCACCTCTGAACTGCAGTCCAGCATCAACATTGCCGCCCTTCGGCTGAGGGCGCCCGGCTCTCCGGGCTGCGGGCTGGCCGAGGCAGCGGGGCCCGGCACGAAGCTCTCCCTACCCCGCGCCTCCCGCGCCGCGACCCACCGGCAGACCCCGCCCGCAGCCCCGCCCACTGCCGGGAGCCGGCTGCGGCACGTACGCAAACACGAGCACATGGGCGGGAAGCCGCCCGGCGGGCCCTGACTGGCCGCCCCGGGGCCACCGCCC